AAGCTCTCTCTTCGCTTTTGTAATAGCTCTCGAATAAGTTGTAATCAACATTGAAAAATTTAGAAAATGGTATAAATCTTAACATTTAYACAAAAAAAAAAAAAAATTCATGAGTTTATTGTTTTTTAATTTGCCATGAAGAACGACTAGCAACTGTAGAAACAGTAACAAAATGTTGTATATCTAACCAAAAGCGAATCGTTTTTCCATCCTATATGTCAAACCGGATGAAACCCGCAGCTAGACCACAAGGTTTAAGCAATTTGTGCTAAAATTAGACTAATCTCAACACATATAATTATAGGCACAAATCTTGACTAATTTAATCAAGAGAAATTTTTTAAAAATGCCACTTTTCAAATGTCACTTTACAAAAATGCTACACTTTTAAAATTTTTACAAAAATGCCACTTTTTCAAAAAAAAAAAATTTTATATTATTTATGTTTGGGTTAACTATGTTCTATTAAGGTTTAGTTATGAGGGTTTAGAGGTCAAAACATTTTTTAGTGTTTAGAATTTTAAGATATAAAGTTTAAAAATCTATAATTAGTGTCGTTTTTGTAAATAAACATCCTAAATGACATTTTTGCAAATATGCACATAAAAAATGGCATTTTTGCAATGTATCAAAGCCTTTAAAGTATCAAGGCTGACGTGAAATGTGAAGATTACATGTTGAGTTTTTTTCGTTACTTAGGCTGATCACCAAATTTTAACAAAATTACAGTAATCATAGGTTTAAATTGTAATATACTGTTTTATGATTATTATCAAATCTTCATTGTCGATAGAAACATTTACTCCGATATTATATTCTTTGTTAGTTCTATGTAAACTCATGTGGTTTGGTAAAATATGAAGAATTTAATTCTAGACTATGAAATCAAGAATCTTTCACCACGTTCCCTCAAAAATTTTATTATTAGGTAATACAGTTACATTCATACGTACATTGGACACGAATCTTAAATTATCTCCTAAGTTCTTCGTTCATTTAATATCGAAAGTTTGAAGGTAATAAATGAAAGAAGTTTGTTTTTCTAAGAGCCTTTTTATTATAATAAGGGAAATTTTATTAGAAATTAAAAAAAATGCTACTTTTTAAATGACACTTTACAAAAATATTTTACTTTTCAAATTTTTACAAAAATGCTACTGTTTCAAAATTATTTTTTCTTTATATTGTTTATGTTTGGGTTAATATGTTCTA